ATAATGTAATTGCATTGCAGTAAAATGAAGATGAAGACAAGGTCAAGATCAATCACAGACTCCTCAAAACAAAGTCAAATTTGTTGCTAATAAATGCTTTGGAAATTTTGAGAAAGGTAGTTTAAGTATGTTTTCCAGCATACAGTGAGTTAAACATTAATTAATGTTTATGTCTTGCACATTGGCTTTCTTTGTAGGATATGATTGGAATTTGCTAACACTGATAAGTTGCCATTTAACATTGGTAGACTGATGTATTTGATATTACAGTTGATGTGTTTGCCCATTTGTTAGGACATCATGCATTTGGGAGAAATGTGTCATGATTGCCATTTTTCTTCATCCAGTGTCATTTAGCAAAATCAAATTTGAGTTCAGAAGGTATATCAAAAATGCTTTCAAATATTTTATGACAGTAGTTGATTTTCATGATACCGACAAAATACCAAATGCTTTTGGTATATAATACCGAATACCGAATCGGTATTGGTTCGGTATCGGTATACCGAAATTTTGGTAACCGATTGACACCACTATGCAGTACCTACATGACGCAGAGCCTTTTTATTTCTGAGCCCGTGCACCTAAGACGGCACATCTGGCCAGCCGTTGCGACTCACTTGCGGCTCCGGCTGGACAAATGACATGTCCGGTCCGTTGCGACATGTCAGGTTTGTCTCAACACGTCAAGGCTGATTTTGCGGCCAGCTGAGGTGTCTTAAGTCCGGCGGAAGTATAAACACTTATCATCCTTTTCTTGCAATCACATCGCTCTCCTGCCACTTCATTTTCAACAGCATCAAATTCACGGCGTTTTCCCTTTCTAATTTCTTTCAAATTCTCTCTCTTTCTCTCTCTTTCTTTCTCTCTCTCTCTCTCTCTCTCTCTCTCTCTCTCTCTCTCTCTCTCTCTCTCTCTCTCTCTCTCTCTCTCTCTCTCTCTCTCTCTCTCTCTCTTTCTCTCCTACCCCGCCCAGCCCATTAATTTCACATCCCATCCCTCCTAAGCCCATCGTCTCAGCACGACCCAGATCCAAAGACACACAGCAGACCGACAGAGACGCACTGCCTCTCCAGGGCCTAGGGTGCCGAGCCGTCGACAGCCCGAGGCAGACAGACGAGCCCCCTGGCCCCGGCCCCGGGCGGTGCCCAATTGGAAACTGATGGCCCACCGCCCGCCAATCCCACTCAGCTGCCTCTGTGACGTGCCGAGATTACGGCGATTTATTGTTGTTGCACTGTGGACGGCGGAGAAACATTGCTTGTGACAACACTTCGGCAAATGGTGGTGAAGGCAAGCTACTGAAACGTGAAATCAATGGCAAGCACATTTACTCATTTTAGGATCAACAATCAACATTACCTGCATATAGGCCATAATTTTTGCCCTTGAACTCGATACTGCTAGAATTTGTTTGGATAGTATAAAAGGACTATTATGCTATTACTATTCCATCCCAATTGTGCAGCGCACGTATGCATTGTTCTGAATCTTCGCTAGGTCTAACCCGCTAGGACAAGAGTCGGTAGTGACTTATTATCGTGTACGTACCAGTACTTATACGCGTGTTTGTGTCCGCCGCACACACGCCCTTGGCGCCCCCGAAATTACCGCTTGTCGTCCGTTTGCCATGAGCGATTATCCCTGATTAGATGACTGATCCCGCGTTGATGTCCTATTACCACGTCAGTGTATCACCCATTACTCCATTCATCCCCTCCCTGCCGCCCCTTCCGCTCGTTTGCCGCGTGTTGGTGCCGCTTTCACCCCTTCCAGCACGTGCTACCGCGGCCATTACCTCCCCATAGGCCGCTCGTTAGTGTGACCCGTGCCCCTGACCTGCCCCAGGCTCTGTCAGACCAATCACTCCTCATCTCTGCGGTGCTGAGCTCAGGTGCGAACCGACACCCATAGCGCCGCAATTAACCCGGCGGCTCGCTGTGTTTTGTTGGTGCGCGCAATTGCGGTGCCGAGCGTTGGTGTGCGCACGGGCGCGTGTTCGCTCAGCGTGACCGGTTGGCCAGCTAATGACCTCACGCTGACCGGCACACCGCCGACACGCCACCACAGAATGAAGGTGTGAGTCCAGGTGCGTCCGAGATGAGGCCGAGACGCAAAACCTAATTAATGGTGGTCATCCGGACTTAATTAGTGGCGTTTTTCGCCGCTAGCGTGGTGAGGATGACGCGTAGGGTGAGATAGTGGGAGTGGGATTGGGTTTACAGGTTACCGGAGGTCGTCGAGATAGGCTATAGTGAAGAAGGGGGGGGGGGGAAGAAATGAGAAAGACTTTGACATAGATTAGTGTGAGATTTTGACGTTTATCTCATCATTTTCCTAATTTATTAGTGACGTGAAAACGGATAACTATTTTGAACATGCTCTTTTCTCGTCAAAATCTTGAAGTCACAGCTGCCTTTCCGCAAATCATGGAATAAAAATCTACATCTTCACCAGGGAACTGATTTAGTTAGATAGGCTGTGCCGCAGCGCAGGCGTATACTGCGGAACAGTATCCTGTTAACTCCTTGCAGCGACATGTGGGTGGCTTTGGGCGGATCCTGCCGGCACAACAGATAAGCCAGTATGTTTTAATTCAGTAGGTGGTTTCTCTGAGTCTGAGCACCTGCTGCTACAGTAGACAACTAGCACGCTGCAGAAAACGAAGGACCACCGGGATTCACGCTGTTCTGGAGAGTAGTCTGGGACTGAACACAGTCTGTCAATTCGACCCCTAAAACAGCGCCGAAACGGCGTCCCGCGTCAGGCATGGTCATTGGTCACACATGGTCACATTTGTTGTGGTTAATGTGCTGGATCATAAAGGCGGACATGCGACATCGTGTTTTGTGAAGTGACGTTAGATTTGTAAAGCTCATCATCATGACATTGACTTGATAAGCAAGAGATAATCACGCTTCATGGAATGACGTAAATGACGGCTTCAAATGAGTGTAGGTACGAGGAGAAGAAGATAAACGTTCATGCTCAGATTAATATCAGTCAGAAAAAAAAACGCTGTCCATCTCACTTTGACGCACTAACATCACCAAAATATAACGAACTTGTACCGCCATGAGCCGTCTTATCCTGTCCAACCGTCGAGCGGAATGAATGTGTGCCGCTCTGGCGATTCTCAGGCTGCGTCCTTCTCGATCCTAAGTTTGCGTCACCAGCTGATAGCATCTCCCGTCCGTGAAATTACCATACGCCATACAATGCTGATGGTCATAACAGCGCCGTGATCTCATGTCAAATGTCTGCATGGTATCTAAAAATCATCGCGATTTTCTGTGGAAGGCGGGAGACCATGTGAAGACTCCGTCGGTCGCCTATGTATGTCGGAACTGGACGGCCATGAGACCCCGACGAATGACATGCCACGGTCAGGGGCGGATCCAGGGGGCGGTCGACGGGATAATTCGACCACCGAAGACACGATTCATAATTCGGTATAAATTCAAACGTTATGTTTGAAGCATAAGATCAGCGTAAGCAATTTTCACATGTGAAACTCATGCTGGGTTCGCCCGTGGACACAATGCCCGTGCCAGGTGCATCTCGCTGTTTCAGGGTCTATCTGGGCGTGGCCAAAAACAGACAACGTGCGAGAGAGGGGGCAGGTGAGGGGGAGGGGGCAGGTGACAATCCAGGTGTCCCCAGGTCTTTCCAGGTGTCTCCAGGTGTCTCCAGGTGTCCCCAGGCCATTCGCCCGCGCGCGACAGCCAACAGCGATCGGGAGAGCCATCAGCCCTGTTCGAGAGATGCCCACCTGACATGATACGGTCGACGAGTCAGAGATAGCCATAATCGTCTCGTCTCGTCCGACTTGTCCGTCAAGCGGGACACGGGCGGAGCTGTGAGTCATGCAGTGTCCAATGACAGCTGATGCAGTGCCTCGAGAACTTGCTTGGACGTCGGCTGTGTATGGGCGAATAGCCTCAGCCCAAATCAGTGTAGGTACGAGAAGTTTAGTCGTGAGGCTGTATGTTATGCGTGGGAGTGAGTGACAATGCTTCTGATTCTGCCTTCTAGACATGCTTCTAAAAGGCACCAGACGTTGCGCTCCACGTCTCGTTCGTATTCCATGTATCTTGGAGAGACATTGGACAGGGCAGGGTCGCTCGACTGTCGGGCAGAGCGCGGGCGAAATTGGCCGGTCGGAGTATTCATGTATTCGCCACGCGCCGCTCTGCGACCGCACGCAGCCCGCCACCCGCCACAACTCCGTGCGACATGGAGTTTCTTTCTCCCTCCTGCGAGCTGCCAGACCGGTCGGCGCACAGCGAGGAAAGGTGCATATGCGCTACAGGAGATAAGATAGACGGTTATTTCGATTTATGCGGCCATTACACGTGTTTCTGTGCTAGAAATAGCTTTGCGATGAGTGTCTCTGGGAATGGTAATGGGCGTTTTTTTTTTTTAAAGTTTCGTAGCAGACAAAGGTTTTGATAAATGATATATCTAGGTAAGCCTGTGGTATTGAGCTCTTATGTACGCAGGATACAGTCTGCCTACATATCTGAGAGCAATTTTCATATGTTCGTCGTTAGTTATAAGGCTTCTTTGCTTTTTATTTCCGCTAAGAACTACATTGGCATTGTGCGTGTTCAAGCACGTTCATACAAAAACAAACATTTCCCCGTGGGATCGCATTAGATAGGAACCATTTATCAATATAAAGGTTGCCGCCGAGCAAATACGCCATTTGAGTCAAGTAGGAGCAGCTACACGGATGCGCCAAAGTCGACAACGCGACGGAACCGTGTAGTCTCCGATAAGGATTTGTTTGCCATAGGTATCATCGTCGCGACTGATGATCTTCAAATGTCTGTCGCCACTCCTCCATGGTAACCCCGGAGACAAACAAAGGGGACACCGCGTGCTCGCCGCCGGTGTCCCCTGTCAATCTTCCGCCGGCCACTAGCGTGCCGCTAGTTCTGGCTGCCGCCACGAGCGGCGCTAGTGTCGCGGCCGGCCGGTGTGCGCGCGCGGAGCCGGCAGGCCGTCGCCAGTGCTGTGCGGACGGCGGCGGGCGAGTGGGGTCTGTGCTGTCCCGTGGAAGTAGAGGTGCGCGCTGTCTCCGGGGCTGTCCCTGACCGCAGTGGGACGATTAGTGAGTGGTGTTTGGCCGTAGCGCTGCGTCGCGGGACCGACGGCTGGCTGTGACGGGCGCCGCGCGAGTGATGGTGGCTGGATGGTGAACTGTCGCTGTCTCATCGAGCTCCCCAAACCGGGCCGCGATGACCGGTCACCGGTGGCCGCTGCTGCTGGCAATTCTCCTGTGCCTGGTGTTCTCCGTACAAGGTGAGTTTGGAGCACTGAGCTCTGAACATAAAACCCATAGGCAGCGCTGACCATCGAACACTGAGTTTTGACCGCCGGCCACTGACCACTGGCCAGTGACCACCGTGACCAGCCACTCCGCAGTCCGCAGACCGCAGTGAGCACTAACCCCAGAGCCATGACTGACTACAAAACACCGAGCAGAGCACTGGCCACCAAAATCAAGCTCTGGCCACCGTATTGTCCAAACCTTGAACACTGACCAGTGGCCACTCACCAGTCACCACCCTGCTCCATATCCGACTTTGTGCCACCGAACGCAGAAAGGAAACTAAGCGGAAAGGAACTCAGTTTCCTTTCTGCTTCGATTTGACGACGATTTGCAACCGGGTGACGGGTAGAGCTAGACTGAAGATATAATCCCGTCAGAATCCGGTTGAGCTGCCTTCGACCAGCATCCGCCATCCGTCATCCATCGCTGAATGAAAAATCATCTATCTCGTCTCAAAACGCACCGGAAGAATCATTCGTAAGCAGACACAACCTGTGATAAGTTTTCCTAGCCTACATGTCGGCCTGTCACTGCTATAAAATCCTGATAAAATTCGTCACTGCGTCGGCTGGGGCTTTGAAGCCGTGAACTGCGTTTGGATGCAGGGGCGTAAAACACCAATGTGCCAGATGGCCGTGTTGACATTAGCGAATCATGGACGAATGAATCGGCACGGCGCCGCATTTGATAAGGGAACAGCTCGGAGTTATTTTCGTTCCGTGCCGATCTCGCCAATGTGCGGGTGCCGTCTGTGGACAAACCAGCGTGAACTCAATCAATTTCCGACCAACTAAAACAAATATCAAATCACTCTAAAACCAGCTTTGGCTCGCGGCAATAAACCGACCGAGAAATCACTCACGGCGGGCTCATCTTTCATCCGTCCATCGTCCATGTTTGCAGCCGGTGCCAAACTGTGCGTGTATACACACGCAGAAATACCTTCAGCGCGGCCGGTGTGTGCCAACAGAGCGCCACCGGTAGCTGCTCGGCAAACTCCTCAGATCCTCGGCTCTCCTCTGAGCCGGCGGCGGACGTGAGCTCACCCTCCTGAGCGGCGGCAAGCCACGCGCGCCGCGGCGGGAGGCCTTTTTACTCTCCTACGTGCCGCGTCGTGGCTGCAGCACGCGCCCATGTACCTGCATGTGCACTGCACCCACGGCACCGCGTGCATGTGCATTTTGCACCAGGCGGCACCTCGGCGGCAGCGGAGGAGGCGGAGGGCGTCAATGGAATGCCGGAGGCTGAGCGGTAATTGCATCGGCGCATCTCAGCCAAGTGTCGGTAAATTACTCGGGCCGCCGGGAACGCGGACGTTCCGCTGCAAATGAGATATGCCGGCCATTGCAAATTGAATTAGCGCGGCCACGCACGCACCCGAAGCGCTGATGACCGGCGGTCTCTCGGAGCGCGCGGCGCGGTCGCGGACGGTCCTTTGTGGGCGCTGCCGCCGGCGACGGCCCGGCCGGCGGGTCGTGCATCAGCCGGTGGCGGCGGCCCGCCGCGGTGTGCCGGTAATGGCCACCCGTGATCGGCGACCCTCGGCGGCCGACACCGAGCGCCATTGACGGACGGGTTTTATGGTGACGCGGCGGCGGCAAGTGGCGGCGCATTTGCAGTCGGTAATTGGCACCGCGGCACTGTGATTGATGCCGCTGTCTCTGCCGGACGCCGCGCGCGACATGGCACCGGTGGGGCTCGGACAGCGGCTCAACAATGCACGGCGGTCCGGCAGGTGCGCTTAGTCCGCCTAAGTGCCGGGAGGAGCGCGCGCGGCGCCCGGCGCCGTGACCCACGCCGACCCCGGCCCGCCGAGACGGCCGCGTGGGATGCTTCGGAGCGGTTTATCTCCAGGGAACACAAAGCAAAAGCAGCCAGGCTGGTGGCACCGGCCATAAAAACGTGCCACCCTGTCGCGGTTTTGCAGTGGTGCACGGCGACGAAGATTTACACTCGCCACACCTACTTGGGCCTGCAATTCCATATCCTCCACCGGCGCTATTCCTGTCTGGCCTTGTTGGGAAAGGGCTTCCGCAGCCCGCATTCCTCAGCATTCCACGGTGGTGGGCATCAATCCCCTGCAGAAATGAACCTCGCCGGTCGTTTGCATTACTGCCTCCAATTCATCATCCGACCAATCTCGCCGCCTCTGATCTTGACCACTCCTCGGGGGAGCAACCCATCCAACGGGCACTACAGCATGTGTGGTCGAGCCGGCGCTACCAACATCCCGCCTCGTTATTCCATACATCATAACATCTCTTCCGGCGTGCGTGAGGCACGCGCGAGTGTCGCCTCGGGCATTCCTTTGAAGATATATTTCAGCGAGCACGACTCCGGCCGTGCCGAGAGCAGACCGGCGGCGGACCGGGTCGCCGTTAGCCGGAACACACCCCGAGGCCATCACGCATCGAGGTGGTTCATCTGCGACGCAAGGCGGCACTTCCGACGCAGGGCGGCGATTCCGACGCGCGTGCGTCGCTCACTGTTGACGCGCGCACGTCGGTGCCGATAAATATTTGACCGCCGCAGCCGCTCCGGAATATCGGTCGAACCGCCACAGCTCCGTTCGTCCGCGCCCTTCCGTGGCGGCGGCGGCCTTCTAGCGAGCCCCAAGGGGACGGCGCGGCCCCTTCGTCGTCGGGGCGGCACACGCAAGACAGCACGTTCGGTTCAGGGGCGACCAAAAGCTGAACGGCGCAACGGCGGCGGTGGCGGTGCAGATGTGTTTGAAGTGTCCTGCTCTGCAGCGGCCGGCTCGCACTTCAGAGCCGAGTCACGGCCGCCGCACTGGCCGCGGAGCGGGGCTGGACGATCGGGTACAGCTGATTCAGCATAAAATACACAGAGCTGGCCCTCCTGCTCGCCTCTGTCGTCCACCGGCCGCCGCAGCCTGTCTCGAGTGGCGTGCGGCGTGCGCTCGAGTTGTTGTGCTGTCGTGACGCGCCCGATGACGCTGCCCTGCCACTTGCTCTCTGTGGGCGGTGCAGACACACGCCCGTGTGTCATGCGGTTGCGTGCAGCTCAGCGTTCTGTTCGGGATGTTGCCCCCCGCAGTGCGCCGAAACAGGCTTTGTGAGTGAACCCCCGCGTTCAGTTGGCCACCGAAATGTCCATTGTTGCACAGAATCAGCTACGACGGTGTTGTCTTTCCGGCTTTTTGCGCAGCATTTTACGGCAGTCGTTGCCGCAATTCAATCAATTCTCATGGCTTACACTGCCACCTTTCCTTCCTGTATTATTTTCACAGCCGGGCTAATCCGCGAATCCTTCTGACCTTGAGATCGCACGCGATGTGTCGAAGAGACGTCTCCGTCTCCAGCCGGTACCAATCTCTGACAGAGCGTGAGAACGGTGACTCACGATCGGACATTGGTTCGATGCCATCTCGGGGTGCTGCATCACCACCACAAGTATCTGTGGGCGGACTCTGTGGGGGCTGTCGCCACCGCAAACGCCACCGCTGGTCATCGTACGTCATCGGCCGTCACCGCACGTCATCGTGCGCGATGGCGGGCGTTGTTTGGGGTTCCACGGCGGACCGCGAACGGGCAGTAACCAGATCACGTCACTGATCAAACAGCGAAACATCCGCTGTCGGCCGCCGCGTCCGGCGTCCGCAAACATACCTTCCTCCGCTGGGAGAGCCGGCAGGCGTCCAGAGAAAGGCCGGCCGACGTCCGTTACCTTCCCGATGCCCGCAGGGGCTGGCTTGGATCGAATGCTCCTCTGGCTGCCCCTCGCGCTCCTAGGAACGCACTCCCTTCGCCGCCAGTTCTCCTTGAATAGCAGAACCCGTACAAAGGTGCAACCAGCCACGCCCAACCACGGCCGTCACCGTCTCCGCCAAATGCGTGAAATGTCACCGGCAGGATTAGTTTACAACCTCGGCGTTCATTGATTAAACTTAGGGCGCCGCGGGGGTCATTTGAACGGGAGCCTGGGGCGACGCTCCCGGCGCGTCAAAACACCGCTGCGCCGCTCAACACGCGCTATTAGCCGCCGCAGGGCCGTCACGTCTGCCGCGCTCGCGTCACTGCCGCCGCCGCCGTGTTTTATGATTTATCTGACGGGCGTTTATTTGTCCTCACTAGTGATGTAAAGAACGGCTGGCCTCGGGTCGGCACGGTCCCAGGGCCAGGACGGGGACGGCAAACGGGAAAGGCACAACCGGGCTGGCCCCGTATCCAGCGCTGTTTAGCTAACCTAATTGAAGTTAAACAGCGCACGGCTGCGCTCTCCCTCTCGCTGGGCGCCGTGCGCTATTGATTTTGCCCTGCCGCCGGCGGTCGACTCCCCTGCCGTTCCCTTAGGACGGGGAACGGCGGGCGCGCGGCGCGTGCCGATCGAGGTGCGCTGGCCGGAGATGAGACGATCGGGCGTGCCCAGCCCGCCGCGGGATATGAACGTCACTTCCAGTTCCGGCCAGGGGTCTAAATCACTGCCATTTGGTGCCACTTCGTCACCGTGAAGCACGCGGAACCCGCTGCGACTGAAAGCCAGCCCTAGACCGGACCGAACTTTGTACTGCTCCATCCACCCTTCGAGGGTGTTACGAAGGGCGTGGCACGACACTCTCCTCTCTGGACTGACGTCATCCTAGCCGCTCGGTTACGCAGCGGCTCCTCCATGTCCGAACATTTATCACATAGCCCGATGTGAAGTCCGACTCAAAATACACAGCCACTGATGAAATGTAAACAGAGCCGGACGACTGGTCACCGGTGGCTGGGCTCAGAGCGGTGCTGCGTGGAACGCGACACGACAGGCTGCCAGACGCGGCGCCCTTCATCCATCTCGCCAGCGCACCTGGTCCGGCGCGGCAGCTATATCGGGCCCGTGTCGACCCAACGCTAACTCGCTGAAGCTGACGGGATACGGCTCGCGGTACGTCGGCCCAAAGCCGAGCGTGGCAGCGCTGGACTAGCAGGTTACCTCGGTCACTGATGCAACCCAGCTCAGCCCCGAA